CCGGCGTTGTGGCCACGCGCAAGAAGCGCTTGGCGCAAAGCTCCTCAGGCTTTCTTACATGTGGGTCTGAGGTTTGACTACGGGACCCCCGAATTCCCCTCCTCGAAATCCTCTCCTCCCTCCCCACCCGCGCTTTTGGGACCGTTCACAGAACGTCTCACCTTGACATTTGTTGGTGTGGGGGGGCGCTCCGTCCCGGATTGGCGCTGAGTTGACTTGGGCCTCTCAAAGCAATACATGACTGAACGGACCCTAAAGCCCTGCACCCTCAAACCTAAAAGCCTAAGGCATTGGGCCGGGCCGAGGCGCACCCCAAGCCGACCGGGGTGGTTGCGGTCTTTTTGGAACCAGCCGGTGTCATATGCTGTCAGGCAACAGCTTCCCGCATCCCGTTTGTGTTGTGGGTCGCCACGACTCCTCTCCCCATGCTGCTCGTCCCGCCTTGTTGTCGGACAGCAGCCCTCCGCTGTCAAAAGAAATCTGGCCACTCTCTCCTAACAGACAACTCAAGGATAGTTTTTGTGCGAAAGCCAGTCGCCGCCACGACTCCCCACCCCGGCAGCCCACCCCTGCTCCTTCTTCCCCCCTTCCATGGCCCCCGTCCTCTCTTCCGGCCCCTCCCGCCCGCTTGCGACCATCGCTGCTTGGACATGCTTGGTCGCCATGCCCTCGCCGAGGCAGCTTCAGGACACCCTTTCGGGTGGTTCCCATATATCAAGAATAAGGATTCTAGCGCGTGTTTTTTGGGGTGTAAAATAGTATAAACGGTAGCCCTATAGGGGGAAATACCCACACGTAGCTTCTTTGAGAGTTTTAGGAAGGCGCTACTGCCGAACAAGAAGGCGTCGCTTATGGCAGAGTAGTCCTGCTGTGTCTGCAACCGCGAGTGGTGGATCCAAGGAGGCGCATCCCGCTCCTCGATCCCGGACTGTGTCAGAACTCGGGTTTAGGGTTTAGGGCCTTTAGGGTTTTAGGGTCGGTCCATCTGGGGGGCTTCAATAGAAGTGGCTGCAAAGCGTGCTCGTGCATAGATCTACACGGCTCTAGCCTGCAAGCCTCCCACACGAGCGCATGATTCTCTCTCGCCCAAGCTCCTCATCGCCCAGCGGCTGCCATGGTAAATCCATCCCATCGACTTTGAGCAGCCAGCCGTTCAGATACCACGTCTTACAATGCCTAGGGCCCCCCAAGAGGGCTTCTCATACATGGACTACTGAGTTACCGCATTTGGTGCAGCTACTACTCGGCAACAAACCTGCCGAAACTGTGAAGAAGCCCGGCATGCAAGCGAACTTGACTGGCACCGGCTTGCTCCATGGGCTGCTTATGGTCAACCCCACCGGTGGCATGGCACTGACTTGTTGGGCACTTCCGGAAGCTTGAAACGAGGGGGCGTGTGAAGCTGTGGAGCTGACGATGTCGTGCAAGCCCAACATATCCGACATCCCACAATTCTAAAGGCAAACGTGAACAGGCTCTGCCTGAAGCATTTTCTCGTCGCTCAGAAATCTAATCACCTCCCGTCGCTGCCGTCACTGGCAGCCGCAGGTGAGCTGTCAAGGTTGCCGGGGCACCTGCACTCTGAATTCGACACAATCCCGCGTAGAAAAGACCGCGTTTCTTCAGCAATTCCAGCTGCCCTTCTGACGCCTGCATTGACCTTTGGGAACTTCGGTAGGATGATACAGGATGACATACATATATAGATACGGGCAGATTATCACGTCGTCAACACAATGGGAGGATGGGGCGGAAGCCATCTTGGGGCCATGATGAGGCATAAGTTCGGATAAGGCAGAGGCGATGCCGAGACGTCTTCAAAACTGCGTCTGATCTTGGGCAAAAAGATTTTCCTAACCATGCCCTGGACTTAGCCCCACTGAGCCCCCTTCACTACTTCACTGTGCTCCAACTACGCCCAGTGGTGCATTCTTCGTTAGCTGGGGGGACCTGAAGCTGCATTGAAGTCTTGAAAGAAGGGCGCCTGGGACATGTGGCGACTGCGCGTCGCTGAGTATGTCGAGGACCTACAAGCAAGGCAGAAGCAAGGCAGGCGTAGCAGGCGGCACTTGGAATCTCATGGGTTTGCACCATCTTGCTTTAAATTAGACTTGGAGCACCACTTCGAGACTGCCACATGGCTCGTGTGCCTTCAGACAGTGTAGCAAAGATCCATCCTCGTGTTGAGCTGGATGCCGCCTTGGCAGCACCGAGCTGCGCCTTTAACTCGGGGAACAACTTCAGCAATTCTGTCCCTGTATCATCTTACGCGCAACCAGTACATAGTTGTGCCAGAGCGATCAACACCGTAGCGCTTGCATCACACTTAACTGCGACTGAATGCTGAGTGGAAGTGGACAGTAAACAGTAAACAGGGCTGACTTGTATCGAGTTCACGTCAGCAAGAAAGCTCGGCACTGCCATCATAAGCGCCTGGCCACACCGAGGACTGCGCCTCTTTGTCTTGGCGGAAACTACTTTGAATCTCAATGAAGTCCACCTGCGAGGCACTGCGAGGGTTGTGCAGTTATGCAGTGGGGATCTCAGATCATCTCCACGTCATCCCTGCAAACTGAAAGAGTTAGTTACACCATGGCACGCCAGCATGAATACCATGATGCGATGGGTTTTCTTCCCCGCGGCAGATGCTCAACTGCTTTGAGTCCCCCAAGCTCCTAAGCTGCTCTTGATGCTCTTACGTCTCGCGATGAGAAAGCGTTCGCTTCTTAGCGAGACCGTCCCTCCTTGCAACAGAGATGTTTGTCATCTCGAGTTCACCATGCTCCGCCGGAGATCGTGGAACCCAGGAAGCAGAAAAGAGCAGGCACTTGTAAGGCAATCTAGGCTGTGAGTGCACAACCGATAGCAGACTCCACACCATGCAAAGCTGATGCCGAGCAAAATGCCGACAGGCATTCCTAGGTCCCGGGGGCATGGCGGAAAAGATAATTCCTCAATGCAACATCGACATTTGGCAGACTCCATCGCTGCACACCTGCGAACTGCAGCGACTGTCTTCGTGGGAGCAGCTCGCGCCCCTTAGATCTTGGGCGCTTCGCCCTCGTCGCAATCTCAGCATTCAGGCGCGGAGGCTTCGGGTCATGGCGACGGCCTACGTGAGTAGATTCCAAGCTTTGGCTTACAGCGGTAGACAGACCCAAAGGGTGCCTCAGAATCTCTTTCCTTCCCGCCTCGCCTGCATGAACATCGTGAGCTCCGAGGGCATTCCAGCCTGCTCCGCTGAGGGAGCTCGGACCTACAAGTTCGGCCAGAACGGCCACGCTTGCGAACCCCGAAGGAAGCAGGCCCACGGATGATAAACTGATAAGCATTGGCGGATTCGTCTGCTTTGTCGGGCCTGCTGTGGCACGCACACATCGCTGCGCCTCGCGCTGTCCTGAAAACGGTTTTGGAGTGGAATGCATGCGTTAAGACAAGACTGAAACTTGTGTAAGAAGAGTCGAGTAAGGAAACCTCTGCAGTCACTATCCCACAGCATGCACTGACGCGTCCTTCGGCAGAGTTCCGGAGCTTGCCTTCACCTGCAGATCAACGGACAGGGCACTGGTTTGAGGAGGCTCTTCCCGACCTTGTGAGGTTTCTCCTCTGTGCGCTTCTGCGGCTTCGCCGTCCGCGCGCTCCTAAACTGGACAGCGCTGGCCTTTGACACAGAAAGACTACTAACGCCGGTCTTACGAGTATTGGACCTGATATCCAGAGGGCAGCTCGCACCTTAGTGCCCTGTAGAGCTCTTGGAGTCCATCCAAGATGCGAACATTATTTAAAATACTTAGAAGGTGGTTATGGGTACACGCAGGTGGCGCAGGAGTCCTGTCAGGTTGGGCTCTCAGATCGGCTTTCTTGTTGGCTTTCTTGCTGACGGCTTCCTTCCTGGCGCGGGTCGTGTTGCACCGCACTATAAATTGGCAGGTTTTGTCTGGGTTGAGAGCTTAGGCTTGGGTTAAGGACTGGGTTCGATTTGGGTTCAAGCTACGCTGGGTCTGAACATACAAGGGGTCTTATGCAGCCCGGAGGGCGGACGAGCCAGTATCATGCTAAACGTCGTGAAAATCCGGACGTGTGTAGCACGCTTTTGTTTCCGGGGCAACGTGTTCTTCAAGTGAACAGCTTGTGGTCTCAGATGTCGGGGTGCGTGAGAGGAAGCTGCTGCCACCTTCTGAATCATGGTCCCTGACTCGCATCGACTGCTATGGCTGTCAAGGTGACGTCTGAGCTTATAACTTCTTTGACATTTCAGTTTAACGATGTCTACGGTCCAGGTGACGCCTGCCACTCCCTTCAGAAGGCGTGCCAAAGTCCATCTCCACGGGAACCTGGATGGCTAGTGGAATCCATGATCGCACCGATGAACCGATGAACAATGCTGAAGTGCAAAGCAGGGTGCATAGGGGGCAGGGTCGTGTCTCTGCCGATTCTCCTTGTCCAAGCGCTTGCGTTGCTTCGCTGGCTTCCTCCTGGCAAGAGCAGGTGCCGTCTCATGATAGTAGCCGGTTCGCCTGGTCAGCGAAGAGGCATTACAAGGCCCCTCCCTCCCTTTGCTGAGGCAGCACGATGCAGGACGTGTGCCACGAAACACGGGAACAACAGAGCAGCGAGCAAAACACAAAGGTGCAGCGGCACGATTGGCAAATTGCAACATCACGGCCGCTCCTAGAGCCAGGTCTGGATGACGAAGCGGCTGTCTTCTTGCCATCTTCCTTCCTGGAATGCCATGACACATCATGACACCACTGAGCACTGACCCAAACGTAGCACAGGCACCTGCCAACTCCTTCAGAGGAGTCTGTGTGAATCTCCATAGGCACCTGGACAACTCAGAGTCAGAAGTCGGAACTGCTCATGCAGAAAGGGCCCTGTAGCCAGGACAGTGTCTTCTGGATGTTGGGCAACATCTTCTCTGCAAAAACTGTCCGCCATGGGCCGTACAATGAATTTGCCCTAACAAAAGTCAACAGCGATAGCAGGCGCTCCTCGTGACTCTCCTCTTGATGTTCCTCCTCCTGCTCCGACAGGAATGCCCATCGGAACCGCGCATGCAGGCACCTTAGCCATGAAACGACGACCGGCGCCCAGATTCTTGGCAGAGCTTCTGCTGACAGCGCACTCTGAGACCAGCACAGATCAGGAAAAATCTCCTTGTGCAAACTATCATCCAGCTATGTAGTTGAAGAACGAGGGGTGGTTGCATGGATGACACAAAATCTTGCCTCGACAGGGGGGCCACCTCGTGTCCCAACCTCAGCGAACTCTCTGCACTCGAGAGAGGGCCCTGATGTTGCTTCAACAGAAACAGCCCTATAGCGGCCCGAAATTTCAAAACCATTACGACATGCACAAACCAATGCATGCATTGTGAAGCCTTTTTGCTGATGGCATTGGAAGCTGCAAACATAGATATACGAATACGTACGCGCGCCGTACGCTTGCACGTGCACGCATAAAGAGAGCGAGCGAGCGAGAGAGAGAGAGAGAGAGAGAGCGAGAGAGAGAGAGAGAGGGAGAGCGAGACGAAAAACACACAAGAAACACAAAACATGTATATATATATATATACGTAACATATAACCTATAACGTGTGTATATAAATATGTAGGTATAACTTATCTCTATACATAATACATACAGTGACATATAGGGGTTCAGGGGCCTCGACCGCCCATGCCAGGCCCAAAGCAGCAGTATATTTATGTCTGTATAGTATATTAATAGACAGAACAGAAATCTATACGGAATGTATTTGTTGTTCGAGGTCTTTAGTAGCTCAGCCATTTCTGTATGGTACCCCCTCTATCCCACCTTGTATTGTCTCCGGTTCCGGACAAGTGGCAGACGTATGTCATGCTGAGTCGTCTTCTGAGTCATGCAAAAGGCGATACCAAAGAAACATACTTCCAGCAACATGAATACTTCTTTGTGACTGTGACATCTGCATGACGCAGCTGGCCTTCAGCTTAGGCCCTCTGTTGGGATTTAGCTCTGTAGGCTTCAGGGATGGCTGCGGAGCAGCTGAGCTTCCAACTGGCGGTGCGACAAATCTCGGATCCATCTCGGACACCTGCACTGCAACTGGCTGCTGTCTTGAGTAGTTCGCCGTGCCGCAATCCTATCCAAGTACATCTGGCATCCCTCCCTCATGCAGGAACGCCTCAGTCGACATGCCGTTAGGGCCGCTAGGAGATTTGGAAGAGCGGGCACCCAAGATGTCGCTCAAGCGAACACTGGCCTTGTCCTGAACATGCTGCTCACTGGCCCGTCATCGATTGAAAGGTGCTGTCCCGCAGCAACTTGACTGAGCGACTGAGCTGCAAGTGCCACCCCTTTTTAACTGGCTACCACAGCCTGCGCTTGCGCAATTATGTCAGGCACACAGCGATGCCCTGTACACAATTCAAATCGATCGGCTTTTGCCTGCTCACCATTAATTAGCGACACAAGCTCGTTTTTTCAATCCAAGCTCATACTCGTGCCAAGCTCCCTGAGCATAATCAACCAACGTGAAACCCAAGCCCGTGCTAACAAGCAGAAGCCCACCATAGAGACCCAACTCAGCCACAGCCATGAGGCTGCCTGCAAAAGTCATTCCTGGCTGGCCATCCTTCACTCTCATAGCGCACCTCTGAGTCATCCCGTTTGTTTGTTTGTTGCAGAGCAGCACACTGCGAACATGCGGCAATCTGAGTCTTGGAAAGCCTTGTAAGTGCTTGTTGGACAGCTGCTCCTTGCTTGGCAAGTGCCCGAGAGCTGATGCAGGCGCGGCGCAAGAATACCAGTGACCGGGCGGCGCGTGGCATGGCTGAGGCCAGGAAACAAGGCAAAGATCCCAGGCTTGAGTTCGCTTGGTACAGAAGATTTCATGGCAGGAACGATGAACATGTTATATTTCCTTCCAGATGTACCATTCGAAAATGTACCGATGCAGAAGACCTTGTAGAAGTTCAGTGCCTCCCGCGGCGGTAGCCCATAGCGCCTAAATCATGGGGTAGGACATCTTTGCTGAAGCTAAACCTACTAGGGTATGTGCAAGCACTGCAGCGCTCTTGACCTGAGCATGCCCACGCAGCAAAGGCGCCAAGTGGGGCCAGGACCTGGCATGGAATCAACATCCTATTTCCATTCTTGATATATTTTGATGGATTTATTAGGGTAATTCATGAGCTAATTGTTACTTTCACTCGTGTCCGAGGTTCAATCATCCTCGACTTTCAAGGTGCCAGGCAACCCGGCCTTGTGCTGAGCGGCGTCCTGACAAGCGACTCCCCGGGAGCACAGCTAATGAGTGATGCCTGGAACAACTCTCCAAGCACATCTTCGATCTGGCCTTCATGTGTCCGAGGTAGGACTGCACCCGCAGCACGCAACTCCGTGGCGTGCTTTGCTTGCCAGTTGCTTGACAGAAGACACGCGACTCTTGAATGAGCGCTTGAATGAGCTCGTGCACAATGCGCAACAGCATCTACTTCAGGGTGCTTCGAAACAGTT